CAGATGAACCGACCTACTCCTGCTCAGTTAACATCAATCACAATACATCCCATCATCCTACAGAAGATATACAGCTCCGCCTTGTACTCTCCACTCACATGATAATACCCTAATTACCTTCAACTACTGTAATAATCCTGCTCATATACAGCAGCTTCTCTCCATTACATAAGCACTGAGCCACTGAGTGTAGTGAGCTAATGAGCAGTGACAACCCTTTCATTGCCACTTCCCTCTTTCTCTTTGTGTTGTGGATCAGTGCAGCAAAGATGGCTGTTACCTGAGCATAGATGAAGATTCAAAACTATAGTTTTAGTGCAGGCAGAGGAGAGAAGTGGTGTTTTATTTGGAAGCAATTCCCTATTTTGGACAGGTCAAACTGTCTACATGGCAACATTATTCCTTTTGTGAAAATGCCCGGACAAAAACAAATATATGTTGGAGGGTGTCCTATTTTTCACTCAATCCACAACACTTTGGTGCTTGTGTCCCACACAAATGCTGAGTTGTATAATGTTGCCCTGCAGCAGAAGAGCGTATATCCTGAGTTCTCAAACATTGCTAAAGGCTCTGAATTTCCAACACTGTGTTTGTTGCTCATCAGCAGAACTAAAAGTAACTCAACAGCCAATTTGCCTTGATCTGACAAGGAGCCTTGGGAAATGGGTCAGCAATGGGCCTGCTAGGTGTCAAGTCAGTGTGTTCATGTTGTCGTTCCAAGAAGCCGTACAAAAACATTTACTGATTAGTTATTGGTCAACACCCCTCAGCTAATAAATCAATTCCTGTTGTGTATGATGCTGCCATCTGGTTCTCATAAGGGCTCAAAACATTTGACAGTAACACTCTCTCTGGCACCCATGACTATAATGCATGATTAACATACTTAAATTGCATTTTAATCTGTTTAAAGCTCTGTATAAGTCCAGTCATACTCACTTGTAAATAGATAATGCCTCATAACAATCATAAGATATTATAAGAACATATTCATCAACCCATTTCTACATGAAATCCTAGTGGATGTTTGATCAATACATTTATTCATGGTAAATCAAATAATACCTACTTTATTTTAACAGTTATTGCCAATATTTCCACATTGGACAAAGTCACTTTAGGTCAACCACTAGCCTTTCACCATGTTTTCCTTGATGTCACATGCATCTGTTTGTGCTATAAAGATAAAAACATCAATACATCAGAGACTTCAATCAATCAATGTTTATTTATATAGCCCAATATCACAAATGTTACATTTGTCTCAGTGGCCTTCACAATTTGTACAGAATATCAGTATGACAATACGACACCCTCTGTCCTTAGACCCTCTGTCCTTAGACCCTCACATCGTACAAGGAAAAACTTCCAGAGAAAACCCACAGTTTAAAGTGAAAATGAGAGAAACCTCAGGGAGAGCAACAGAGGAGGGATCCCTCTCCCAGGACGGACAGACGTGCAATAGATGCCGTGTGTAAATTGAAAAGATAATACATTTACAACATAGGTAGACCAAATGTTTAGAAATGCATGTGTCTATAATAAGAAGATGAATCCACGAGGATATCAGACTTGTCTTTGTACATCCATGAACCACAGGACACATGCTCATATTCTGCAGTTAGCCTATATGAAGCATATCATTAAAAAGGAGCAGTATAGAAATATGGGACTTTGTTTTTGTTTAGCCATCTCCCCTAAGGATATTCTGCAACTGTTTATTTGAACAACTTGACTTTGCTATGACATGTCTGCAATCCTGAATTTGTGGAATTCTTTGAGGAAAAAAGGCTAATTATGTGCTTTAAGGCCTAAGCCTCCATTTAGGTGGAGTAACTGTGGGAAAGTATAGGAGACAAATAAGATCTAGAGATGCAGCTCTTCAAAGAGCCACAAATTATGGATCCAGAGACAGAATGTTTGAGTATTCTTTAGTTTTATGTCTCCAACGGTGTGCCAGATGTGAAACCAGACAGTTCAGGATCTGAACCTCCCTGTCTCATCCATGTGTTGTTTTGTATGCCAAAGGGAAAGCACACAAAATAACATCCTCATATTGGTTTAGCTTACATGGCTGAAAATGTGGTAAACACTTGACTGGCAATGTGCTGAAAACAACAGTCTTGGGAGCAGCAAATCAGGATGAGAAGCTTGAAAAGCAATTTAGCATTAATCCTTCATGACTGTGCACACTGTAGACCAGATTGACTCTGGAGTTAATGGTGCTTGAGTGGCTAATTGATGCGTGCTTCCTGGCCCCACTCAGACTGTGACAAAAGGCCTCAGCGTCCCCAGAGGAGATCAGGTACACCAGCACAGCTTGTGATAACACAGCTGATTCAGAGCAGACAATACTTCTAATGTCACAGATCACTGATATTACAGCCAACTAAGTATCACATACTTGCCACAGCAATACATGCAACATATATCTTTGATGATTCATACATAATGAAGGGGTAGATAAGGACATAAGCACCAGGCAGAATGTACTCAGAGGCCAGTATAGAGTGCTAAAACACGGAAGCAAGCTGCGCATGGGTTCCTTCGACAAAAAAGCAATGCAATTTCTCCATAGGACTTTGGAAAATAGCTCGAAATAAGGTCTGTGGTTGACACACATTTAAGAGACGGATCACGTTTTGTTCAGTCGGATAATCTCCACATGTCTACCCTACTTTTATAATTTTCGAATTATAAATCTAATCGATAGATTTATGATCGATAGGTTTATTTACGTCACTGTGGCACTCTGTAGAGGAGAAAGGTAAAGAAGAGGCGGACATGAAGTATTTGAAGAGGTAATGTAAAGCAGGAAGTGTGGGAAGTGTTTCTCTAAACAGTTTTTCTCCAGATAAATCAAGACATAATTGCGATGTTATGACAGCAACAAAAGAGATTCATCCTGATTTCCTCTCCAATTGCTTTTACAGCTAACCTGTTTGATGCGGTTCAACTGAATTGTGGTGGACTTTGGTTAGGTTTCAAAAATGTAACTCAGGTGCAGACACAAAACATGGTCCTTCCCTTATTAAAACAATCTAAGAACATAAGCTGCATTCAACAAGGCCTTCAGATCTCCATAGCAATTCTATCCTGCCACCAATTTCCCACACATTCACCAGTACTGCCTACACTTCTGTGTGCCACTTGTTCTGAAGCACTCTTCAGTTGCAGAATGGGCTTTTGCAATCAAAGGCTTCTGAAAATGTGACAGATGCCTCTTTCTCTTTTCATGTGTTCCTCTGTCCTTGCTAAAGCTGAATCAACCAACCTTACTGCTGTCTTGGATGAATTATGCATGTTTTATGTTCTGTTTTTATGGCAAAAGTACACAACGCTTGTGATTTTTGTTGCATTGTAAAAGCAGCCATAGTTAAGTGTCAAAGCAATGCTGTGTTGCTGTCAGCTGCAGGATGATTATACAACTGAAGTGACCCATGTGCGATTGCACCTTCATGTAGTCCAAAGGTCTCGGCTGTTCTGTGTTACAGTTATTGTTGACCCAGCGCCAAGTGTTCTCCAGAGGGGAAGACTACACATCTACATTTACAGTGCCACTGCATGGATCAATGGGCCAGTCGCCTCCATTCTGCTGAACCAAGGGAAATCATCAAGCACTGGTAAACAGAGGAGCAAATGTGTGTGTGTGTGTGTGTGTGTGTGTGTGTGTGTGTGTGTGTGTGTGTGTGTGTGTGTGTGTGTGTGTGTGTGTGTGTGTGGGAATGTGATTCATAGTGTGTATGGGAGGAAGTGCTCTTTAAGAATGGGTGTTGATGTTGACCTACTTCGTCACTGTTTGCCATCAGTTGTGAAATCTACTACCGAGGCCATCCAGGAAGTTGAAAGTATTTCATCTGTCACTATGGAGCTGAGTGTACAGTGATGTGAGCGTATACCAGAGGGAAGAACGTGTATTGCTCATTACACAAGCAAGTTCTATCTAAATAGTCTGTTATTTAAGGTTTTACAAAGTTAAAACAGCATTAACATAACTCCAATGGTTATACCACTGACTGGCAAAGAGGAAAATGCTGTCACTAACCTTGGGACCAGTACCAAGCTTTAATTAATTCATTAGTCATTGAATGGGCAGCCACTATAATCCCACAAAGGGAAAAGTAATCAGGGTCCTAGCCGGGGTGATTCAAATTTGGCACAGGGGTTTCACACGTCATTTAAGAGATGAAACTTGAATGAACGTTTTGACTTTTTTTCACCATGTAATTGCAAAGAGTAATGAGTGCAAAGCCATGTTACACGGTCATGGTGGTTACTCCATTGGCCTAGCTATTACCATGTTTTACATAAAAGTGATTAACTGTGTGTTGGTAGAGAGACATAAATGCACACAGAGATTACACATGTGAGTGTAGTGTCTAACAGTGGAACTACACTATAGTAAATTGCAATCTAATAGTCCTTGGATAATGTGTGTAGTAGAGAGTTAACTATGTGTTAAAACATATAGTATTTATTTTTTGTCTGGTTGCACACACGCCTTTACTGTGCCATTCTAAAAAGCAGTAGTACTGCTTTCACTTTGGCACACTTACACACAAACCGCGGTTCCATTCCATCCTCATTGCTCCACTGTATGAACTCACTTCCCTGCCAACACAACTAAAGGGAACAGTTCCAGTGTTTCCTGAACGTTTTGGATGGCCAGCCAAACAGACACACAAGAGACCAGAAGGAGAGCTCTTTAGCTTCACAACTTTTTGATTCCTTGTGGAGGAAACAGTGAACTACCACGAATAAAGTAATCACGATTTGGCATCTCCTTTGTGATAACAATGACAAGCTTCCCACTTTGTTTCCACAAGGGCCCCCCTGGGGGTCCCAACTGGCTCCGATTCTAAGGGGACAGCCGCTGGCTCTCCTCTGCCCACCTTCTGTCTCTTCCTTAGCCCGTGGAAAGCGCCATGTTGAGGCTCCGGTGTGGATACAGCGTGCTACAACAGCACACCGGGGCAGGGCTGTGTGGGAAAGGAGCTTACCTTTGCGATCGCCTTCTTATACCTCATAGCCGCTTGTTCGATAAGGCTTTCGACTTTTATATTCCCATCTCCACACGGAACGACCACCCGGGTCCTCCCGAAACACACCGTCACTTTCATTTTCCGCTGCGTTAATTCCAATGAGGAAAAAGCAGCTTAAAGACGACAATAAACATCCCCGGTGCGCGAAAACTAGATCCACAGTTGTCGATAAGAAGTCGAAAAGTAGTTGTCTTTGTGTCCTCCGAGGAGAAGCCCAGCAGTAGATCCAGCGGCGGGGCTGGGTGGCGTCCTCCCTGTGTGCCGTGTTGACTCACTTGCACAAAGTTCCCAACAATCCAGCTAGAGCGCACCACTGCACTGACACTGCGAGCGCGCGCCCACATGTCAGAGCAGGCTCTAAGAATGTTTCCAGCAGCAGCCAACACAATGCAGGTTGGAGGCAAACCCATCGAAAGTCCAATTACTTGCTTTCTTATCATAGAAGGTTGCGTAACACTTGGATTTGCAATGTTTTCTTCCCACTGGTATAATATGGAAATCGTATACAATAGAGAGATTAGGAACATATTGTTGTTGATTTCATGATTAATAGCCACTTTGACTGCATTACCACCTTTTTATTTCTAGTTGTGTTGGTGACTTTAATTCAAATGTGAGAGCCAGAGAATGCAACTTTATGGGGTCCTTAAAAATGTATGTGGCTAGGGCTGGATTAACCTGCAAAAGGGTCCCCTAACACACATTTCTCCAACACATTTTGTGCCAAAAAGACAAGTAGTAGTGTTCCTTTGCGTTGCTATATTACATTGAGTTTGAAATCATGTTTTAGAATTTTTTTGCAACTCGTTGGGATCTGTAAGGACATGGGGCCCTTGGGCAAGTTGCATGCTTAGTTGGTATAGCCTACTATCAAAGCATATGACACTATAAAAGACAGATTCAGTCCTGATATCTACCTTTTATAAAAGCATTTCATTTGGGATTCCTGTGGTGTCAAACACTATCTTATCAGATGCAGATCTGTGAGTTTATGGTTAGGTAAATATCGGAAAACCTTTGGGTTCCAACTCAGAGCAATTACTGCAGATCTATTGCAACAAGTATTACGCTTGTTGTTACCACACTTCGTTTTGATCTATCTGTGCTGCCTGGGTGTTGGACATACACACTGATGTTGAGTTTAAATGAATGAGACAGAGCAAATGAGCTTAACTCTCTAGCAGAATAAGTTATAGGAGTCATATTCTCACTCAGATGAAGCTGCTGAGACCTGCACTTATGCCACTGATAGCAAAGCATATATTAATGTTATGACTAAATTATTGAACTGCAGTGCAAAAGGAGAGATAAGCCTAAGGCTGGATCTACAATATGACCCAATTCACGGATAAAAGCTGCAACCTTTCTGCGCTTCACTCATTCCCTGCAGCTCTTACTCTTTATGTTCTCATGTAGTCCAATTGAGTGAACATGAACACCAGTGCAATAGGGACAACCTCTTTTCAAAACTATATTATCACTGCTCAAAATCTGTCTGCATTAATACCCTCGCTTCTTGCTCTCAAGCTAACACTATAACCAAACGATGTATCTTCATATTGATTTGTTATCCCAGGAGTCATTGCTGGATACAATGTGATGGAAAATGCCACTTCGTCTAACATCCTGACTCTGTGGCGCAACGGTAGCGCGTCTGACTCCAGATCAGAAGGTTGCGTGTTCAAATCACGTCAGGGTCAAGCATTAGGAATTTATTGGTGTATTACCCCAGGAAGGCAAAGGTGAATAAATATACATTTAGGTCATCAAACTCTCCATTGTTGCTCTTTATGGTGAGTGTTTTTCTTATTTGTGTCAGTAGAGGGAGTATGATACAAATGTGCAAGGGAAGGGAGTGGTTGTCAACATGGAGTGACACATACAGTATATCAGGTTGAAAGAGTTCCTCTTTTTGAGGCTTACCAGTGATATCATACTTCACTCCTGGTGACTACCATTTTATATTCATATTACTATCAATGTGGGATTTTTGTTAAAACCAACACACAAACCCTCAGTGTTTTTTATGTTAACTCAAATAAATGGTAAGATACCAGTTGCTGAATGAATCTGATATATTTGAGAGTTTCTTATATAGGACAATAATAAGTTTCCTAAATGAACAATTCAGTTATTTATCTGAAACTGCTATGGTTAAATGATTCCCGGGCCTGCATTGTAGTTTGTCCACTGCACATCAGGAATGCATGGAGGAGGAGACAATGGTGGAAATGAAGAGCTTCACTGGGGCTCAGGACCTGCTGTGAAGGTTGTTTTGAATTTAAATATGTAATTCATAGTACTGGACGAAAGAGAGGTAAAAGAAGAGCCAGTTGTTAGGAAATTATAAGCAGATCTGAAATTAAGTGAAGTATGTCATGGCAAAGATGCGCCTGTTTACTGGTTGAAGGAATTACAGAAATGTAACAAGGAAAGTAACTTATATTCCTAGTAACATTTTGATCCAAAAAGAAATTGCACCATGCCATGGTAGCAGTGTGAGCTTTGTTATTGGCTCAAACAATTACTTACTTTATAACACTAGGTAGAAATCGTTTTCTAAGAGTTTTACAATAAACATAACTATTTGTCCATTCCTTGGAGTATTTTGACATACAATGTGATTGACGTTTTGTGGAAGTTTTATTTAATACCTACACAGTGGCAAATATTATCTTAGTATTGAGCGGTACCTAACTTCATCTTCTCCATATTTACAGAATTGTCCTATGCAGATAGGAAAGCATCAGCACATAAAGTAAACAATGCGTTTCTGTGTGTGTGTGTGTGTGTGTGTGTGTGTGTGTGTGTGTGTGTGTGTGTGTGTGTGTGTGTGTGTGTGTGTGGTGTGTGTGTGTGTGTGTGTGTGTGCGTGTGTGGTGTGTGTGTGTGTGTGTGTGTGTGTGTGTGTGTGTGTGTGTGTGTGTGTGTTTGTATGCTGTATTTGTCAGCTGACAGTGAGGGTGTGACTTCCACAGCATACGTGCTCCAACATGATCCTGAGTGTGATGGAGGACATTCCAGACACATCACTCCATCATCAGAGTTGCACCTCACCACCAAAACATTCGACTATCACAATGGACACACTCATTCATAGAGGTGTAATTTACTACATCCTTCCTCTACCTCTATCAGGGCCTTCTAACTCCACCTTCCACCTTTTATTGATAAATGTCAAATGAGTGAATGTGGGGACTTGGCTATAAATTGAGAGGAAGATATTCTTTATAAGGACAGTCACATGTATTGTGTATCATGGCTGCTCCCCATTACCTGCTTCATGTGATGCAATAATCTGCATGTCAAGGAAATGTACAAGAGAGAACATAAAGTACACAAGAGTAGTTGTAGTTGCACAGAACTTTGACTAATAATAGAGATATCATCTAAGTCATCATCACAGCCTGAAATCAGAATTACTGTTCACTTTAATTATCCTTTTTAAGGCCAGGTGTTATCATCAAATACATTAACGGTACTTTGTCTTTGAAGGAAAAGCAGGTTGATTTTGGTTTTCAGGAGCATGATACTGTGTTAAATTAACATTACATTGCAAAAATAAACCTACAGATTAAGACAAACTACTCAATCCCACTGTATCCATTGTATTTTCCCCCAACTTTTAACTAATTTTCGGCTGAAATGTACACATTTCTGAGTGTTTTTAAGTTGTTTTCCCACTTTGCAAAATAGCCATGTCTGTCAAATCATGATTTGATGCTTCTGAGAAGGCTAAAGCCAGTGTTTTGTTTTCTATCTCCTCACCATTATTGCATCAGTCATTGTTTAATTGTTGCACAACTGCTCAGCAGACGGCTCCATGTGAGTCTGCACATGAAGATGCAGTTATTAGTTTATGTTGGCTTCAGTTAATGCCAATTGACTTGAAAGACAGCCTAAAACACTACAGATGTGTGATAAAACTCACAGTAAACAGTGTTTAACATTACCTAAATCACATTTCTGCCATCATTGCAGTCTGATGCAAGCTAAGGCATGTATTTTCTCCTGAAAAGTTTCCCTGATAACACACATTAGCAACTACTACCAAAGCACCTTCAATTGATATTACATTGTTTATAGCTCAAAGCAATATAACCCTATGTTATGCAGAACATTTGACTAAGACCTTAAGCTACTAACCCTCAAAATAAACATCAGGGTCTTTAGTTTCACTGCTGAACCGTACAGTAAATGTGCCCCCTCTGCAGGCTCTTCAAAGTAATACACCTTGTCTTCTCTCCAGGAATCTTCTTTGTTTGGATTAAGTGTCAAGCCTGTAATTGCAGTGTTTATGGGGATTGGGCCTAGAGTACACTGTGAACACACAGAATGGTGTTAGCTCTCTGATTTCCTGGATTTGCAAACTCTGCCTGCTGCTGTTTTGCATACACTTTCTGTATTGCAACTTTTTTGATCACCCATGTAGCCCAACAACAAGTGTGATTAACATGAAAACTTTGCATATGATATTTGATCTCTACGTATTATATAAATAATCCCAACTGAAATCTATGACTCTATATATAACTATGCATTTTGCAGAAGTGTTTCTATGCGTGTAGCCTGATGAAAATGCAAAATGTTGGATTCTGTGAGTTGACATCTGATTATTTAAAGAAATCTACATATTATACTATATATAAAATGATACTTAATTGATTTAAGGTTGATTTTAGTGGCAATAATCTGACATTTTACTAAATATTCACAAACAGGCAAATATAAAACCATGGGCCTTGTAGTGGATACATCCTTCCGTACATGAATGCAGATTTTTGCTCTAAACTAACAACTGTGAGTTTCACAACTCACAAGTGGTGCAACGGTAGCGCGTCTGACTCCAGATCATAATAATAATAATAATAATAAATAATATTTTTATAGCGCAGAAGGCTAAGTGTTCAAATCAGGGTCAATGGAAAAAACCTTTAGTATGTGACAATGACAGTCTGGTCCCTTCCAGCTATGATCAGATGCAGAAAATACATGTATATCTGACAGGTTATGTGCTTTGTTGGATGCATTGGAAAAAACATGTAGTAAATCCTACACTTCATGTTGTATCATGCAACCTAAATATTAAGAAATCAATCAAAAGTTTTGAATGGTGAGAACATCCACCTACCTCCCGGATGAGCGGTAGTGTTGGGCCTTCATGATTCTCACTAGCTGCATGTGCTCCTCATCTGCTCCATCTCCTAATGATCAGACAGATAGTTAGATGTATTAACATAGGAAAGGATAACGATAATGCATCAAAAACACATTCCCAAATACAAAACCTGGGGCCTTGT